GTGAGCATGTTAGATAGGAGTAGAGACAAATGGTTTCTGGGACTTGATGAGCTGTGTGTGAACAGGGTTAGCCAGACTTGAGTCCTAGAGGTGAAAAGTACAGTACCTGCACTTTAAAGGAGGAGTTTGGGATACTGGCTGTTTGGAGTGACATCTGAACTGTCGTATTTGGGTACCTCTGCAAAAACAGTGATTGTGTGAATGATGGTGAAAGTGTTTCTTTCTTTTTTGGGAGATGGCCGATGTGTTAAAAAAAAAAAATTGACTTGTTTTGCTCTCCGTGTTCACTTTTAGTTTTCTTCTTTTACACATCTTCCCAAAGTCATCCACCATCCTTGACAACTTACAAATACAGTAATTTATTTCTTTTCTGCAATGTACAAATAAAATAGTTATGTAATAAAATATTGTTAGGCAAAAAAGAATGACAGTAGCCTCATCCATAAATATATTGAACAACTCTGGGGATATCACACATACCTGTCTAAGGCTTACTCTTACTGGAAAATGGTCCTCCCCTCTCTTCTACATACCCTAACCTGAGCCTTAACTTAATCATAAACTCTTCACTATTTTTATTATTTTTTTTTTCAACAAGTCGGCCATCTCCCACCGAGGCATAGTGACCCAAAAAGACAGAAAATCCCCCCCCCCCCCAAAAAAAAATACTTTAATCATCATTCAACACTTTCACTTCACTCATACATGATCACTGTCTTTGCAAAGGCACCCAGATACAACAGTGTTGAAGCATATACAAAGATATACTATAACATATCCCTCCAAACTGCCAATATCCCAAACCCCTACTTTAACCCTTTCAGGGTCCAAGGCCCAAATCTGGAGTCACGCACCAATGTCCAAGAATTTAAAAAAAAAAAATTTGTTATTTTTTCTTATGAAATCGTAGAGAATCTTTTTGTGAAGGTAATAAAACAAAAAGTACGAAATTTGGTGGAAAATTGACGAAATTATGCTCTCGCGAATTTTGATGTGTCAGCGATATTTACGAATCGGCGATTTTGCCGACTTTGACTCCCATTTTAGGCCAATTACATTATTCCAATCAACCAAATTCTTAGCTATTTCACTAGTATTACTTCTATTCTATCGATTGAGCACAAGAAATCGCCAAGTCAACTGTTTCAACTACAAAATAAAGTGATCGGAAATTGTTAATTTGGCCAATTTAACACAAAGTTCAAAATATTCCAATTTCAAAATAGGGTCCAGAATGAACAATGTAGGCATTCCTGGCACTAAACTAACATTTCCTCTGTTCATTAGTTATGTTTTGAGGCTTTACAAATAAATTCCATTTTGATTTTTTATTCACATAATGAATTTTTATTCACACCAAAAAATAGAAGATTTACTGTTATGCAATACTGTAATAATTGTATAAATATCATCACCATATTTGTGAATGTATATTAGACCCACCAGCTGGTGTATATTAGACCCACCAGCTGGTGTGTATTAGACGTGTGAGGTCGTTTGTTTACTCTTGAATATCGGCAAAAATTTAACATTTCTGCTACTTTGAGCTCAGTTTCAAGCCATTTCCAGTGCTAAAACCAATCAAAATCATCTCTATTTCTGTAATATGTCTTCCATTCTATCAAATGAGACCAAGAAATCGCAAATACAACTATAAAAAACATACGAAAAAACACTGCAAAGTTGCTGTTTTAATCGAAAAATCATGATTTCATTTTTTTTCTCTCATTATACACAGTGTACTGCAGGATCTGTTTTATGTGGTGCACACATACCACATAGATGTATTCTCTCATATCTAGGCCCAAATGTACCACTCACAGTTTATCAGAGTAAGCTGAGCTCATGGCGTAGATCTACGGTTTGGACCCTGAACGTAAAGCTGTAGATCTACGGGATGGACCCTGAAAGGGTTAACCCTTTCAGGGTCCAGAGGCCAAATTTCAAAGTGTGCACCAGGGTCCAAGAATTTTCAAAAAAAAATTTGTTATTTTTTCTTATGAAATGGTAGAGAATCTTTTTCTGAAGGTAATAAAACAAAAAGTACGAAATTTGATGGAAAATTTATGAAATTATGCTCTCGCGAATTTTGATGTGTCAGCAATATTTATGAATCGGCGATTTTGCCAACTTTAACTCCCATTTTAGGCCAATTACATTATTCCAGTCGACCAGATTCTTAGCTATTTCACTAGTATTACTTCTATTCTATCGACTGAGCACAAGAAATCGCCCAGTCAACTGTTGCAACTACAAAATAAAGTGATTGGAAATTGGTAATTTGGCCAATTTAACACAAAGTTAAAAATATTCCAATTTCAAAATAGGGTCCAGAATAAACAATGCAGACATTCCTGGCACTAAACTAACATTTCCTCTGTTCATTAGTTATGTTTTCAGGCTTTACAAATGAATTCCATTTTGATTTTTTATTCACATAATGAATTTTTATTCAAACCATAAAATAGAAGATTTACTGTTATGCAATATTGTAATAATTGTATAAATATCATCACCACATTTGTGAATGTATATTAGATCCATCAGCTGGCGTATATTAGATGTGTGAGGGCATTTGTTTACTCTTGAACACCGACAAAAATTCAACATTTCCGCTACTTTGAGCTCAGTTTCAAGCCATTTCCAGTACTAAAACCAATCAAAATCATCTCTATTTCTGTAATATATCTTCCATTTATCAAATCAGACCAAGAAATCGCAAATACAACTATAAAAAACATACGTAAAAACACTGCAAAGTCGCTGTTTTAATCGAAAATCATGGTCTCAGTTGTTTTCTCATTATACACTGTGTACTGCAGGATTTATTTTATGTGGTGCACACATACCACATAGATGTATTCTCTCATATCTAGGCCCAAATTTACCACTCACAGCTTATCAGAGTGAGCTGAGTTCATGTCGTAGATCTACGGTTTGGACCCTGAACGTAGCGCCGTAGATCTACGGCACGGACCCTGAAAGGGGTAAGTGCAGTCATTGTACTTCCCATTTCCAATATCCAAGTCTGGCTATATAAAAATAACCAGTTTCACTGAATCCCTTCACTAAATATTACCCTGCTCACACTCCAACAGCTCATCAGGTCCCAAAAACCATTCATTTCTATCTAACACGCTCATACACGCTTGCTGGAAGCCCAAGCCCCTCGCCCACAAAACCTCCTTTACCCCCACCCTCCAACCTTCTCAAGGACGACCCCTACCCCGCCTTCCTTTCCCTACAGATTTGTACACTCTCCAAGTCATTCTACTTTGATCCATTCTCTCTCTATATATTCTCTCCATATATATTATTATTATATCTAATGGGGAAATGCTATGTCTGTAGGGTTGAAGGATGGGGAGCATATAATTGGCACTTGTAAAAATATGAGGAAATTAGATATGATCCATGGAAGGGCAGGACACATCCAACTCCTTGCATCAAGGAACCTCTCTAGCAACACATTTACACAATTGTTCCTCATCTACTCTTATCGCATGCCTTTTCTAAATCCAATCATGCTTTTTAGAAATGCGACAAAGCCAAAGCTGTATGCTGCCTCATTGAACAAAAAACAGTTACATACCTGACACCAATGGAGGATTTAGAACCATCAGTGTACAATGCAAAGGCAAGAAAGTGAGATTTAACCCGTAAACGGTCCAAGCAGATCTACGTTCACATGCGTAGTGCTCCAAAAGTAGATCTACTTTTTTTTTACATATTTTCAAATATAACAAAAAAAAAAAAAAGTAGATCAAAGTTTTTTTACACATTTTCAAATGTACAAAAAAAAAAAGATCTACTTTTTTTACATACTTTCAAATGTTGAAAAAACGTATGTAAATGTTTGGACCATTTATGGGTTAAAGTGCTCAGGTACGAGTGAAGATAAATTTGTAGAAGGCAAGTGAGCTTTTGCACATGGAAGTGGGGAAGAGCAAATAAGAATTGTCAGAACTTTCCACAGAGGAAGGAAAACGTAAGATGTAGGGCGAATGTAAAGGGTAGGTAAATTTAAGGAAGATATGAGAGAGCGAGTATGAAGAAAGAGGTGTAATAAATAGGGGCAATGATTAAACAAATTAGCCCTACTAATATTCAGTTATCATTCTATATGAGAAAAGGTCATGTAGGTCATAGAAAAAGTGAATAAATTAATGGAGGCAATGGGAATCACGTTGATCTTGTAAAGACGGGACATTCACCTCTGGGAAAGATCGAAAAGCCCCAAGACAAACATACCCCTTGATGATGAACGGGATCAAGTATAGAAAGAGTGGTGGAGGAGCCTGAAGAATATATTTGGTCACTATAGTAGAGTTTAGATAAGTTTAGGGTTGAAAAAATGTGAAGAAGGGTTATTCTATCAGCCCCCCCCCCCCCAAGAAAGATGGGCTATATTTTAAGAAGGTTTAGGCAGCTATGACAAGCAGCTTTCAGAGAGGTTATCAAGATTTTTAGGGCATTCAGTGATCAAGCAGAGGGTCAAGAAATCTGACTGTATCCTGTTCAGGGATATGGGAGCCATACAGGTGTTGAGCAATACAAGAGACAATAGAGCATCTCATGAAAGTTATCTGGTGTGTTAGCAGCAAAATTTAAACCCATGATTAGTGGCCCAATTGAAAGTGCAAACAAGGGGACGGTCAGGACCCACATAAACTATTGCAAAATCATCAACACAGAGACATAATCAAACAGTGGAAGGCAGAACAAAGCCAAGGTCATTAATGGGGAGCAGGGTGTAGATAGTGCTTATAACACAGCCTTGAGGTACACCTTCAACCTGGACAAAGTCAGAAGAAGAGCTGTTATTTACCCAGACACAGAAGTGTCACTCTGATAAGAAATCTTTAAAAGAAAAGTACCAAACTGCCTTTAAGGCCAAGGAATGAACTTGAGAATTAAAAAAAAAAAAAAAAGGCATCCTGTTTACAAAAAGAGTTATGCATATAATTAAAATAAATTAATATTCTTAAAAATTTATTTGGTTTAAATACGATGTAATTAGCACAATCAAAATATTCACAAATTAATTACAGTGGGTTAAGTTTTAGTGATATAGATAAATACAGACTATTTAATATGGAAATATAACAGCCATTTGGTAACTAGGTCTGAATGGAAATGAACTAAAACCAGTAATAAAATATGATGTTGAATATTGAAAATGTGGAATGAAATATTTATATACAAGTTGAATGAGATGACACATAGTTCTATACTTTATTAACACAAGCATACGAAGAGATACAGGAGTAACTAAGACAAAAATTATACAATATCCATATCTAACAATTTTTTTTTTATGGAAGTAAATCCCATGTGTATAGACAATGTATTCTCAAGATAAATATTTACAGCAAGCACAATCCATGCTGTTTTTAAAAGGATCATCTTTCCAATGAATATTCAGACAATACAAATCTTTAATAAGTACCAATTATTATGATTGCTATGGTGAGATAATCATTAATAAACAATTTATTCAAATTGCTTTCATAAGAATAAAAGTAAATGCACAAAAATCAAGTTAAAACTAGTACAATATGTAGCATAATAAAACATGTAACAGTAGCCAGACTGTTACAAAGTTACCATGCTCATTTTCATAGGATGTGATGCGATTCATTCACATCTAAGAAAATTATTACATTCATGGGGAAGTGCTAAATCCTTATGGGTCACAACACCTGGGGAATGGGAGGCATCCGGTTCAAGCAAAGAGAGGGGAAGTCAGGTCCAATTCCTTGGATCAAGAGCCCCTCACCGGCACCTAGGAACCTTCCTGAAAGGGGCCACCCCTAGGATAAAGTATTATTTAACCTTTTAAAGTTTACTTGTTTTGGCTAAGCAGGTAAATGCATAATGAAAGTACAGTATTTAAAAGATTATACAATGTATTTTCAGCTTAGATATATATATAGCAACTTTCTTACATTTTGCATTAATTAAGAACAGGTTTTAAGAATTCTTTATTTCTTTCTTTCATCTTTTCCAATATTTTTTGTTTTTCAATTTCAACAAAATTTTCCATTTCTGTCAGAGAATTTCCTATTTTGGGCTCCCCAGATTTGCCATTTTCTTCTTTGTTCCACTTGTTGAATCTAGAAGAGTTCTCTGGAGAGAATTTCCTTGAAGGTGAAGATATCTTGTCACCATCCTTGTTGGTAAAACCTTTACCAGATGACTCCTGCCTATTTGGAGTTTTGGGATGTGACAATTCCTGTCGACTTGGGGTTTTGGGATGAGACAATTCCTGTCTTCTTGGAGTTTTGGCATGAGACGATTCTTGTCTACTTGGGGTTTTTGGACGGGACGATTCCCATCTATTTGAGGCTTTTGGGTGGGATGAATCCTGTCTATTAGGTGTTTTGGGATGAGATGATTCCCACCTACCTGGAGTTTTGTGAAGTGGCTCCCACCGACTTTTAGGACGAGATTCCCATCTACTTGGAGTTTTAGGACGAGATTCCCATCTACCTGGGGTTTTGGGTTCACACCTACCTGGAGTTCTGGGCTCACACCTACCTGGAGTTCTGGGAGGAGGAGATTCCCACCTACTTGGAGTTTTGGAATAAGATTTTGATCTACCAGGTGATTTATTTCTTGAGGATTCCAAATGACTTGGAGTTTTGGGACACAATATTTCCCTTTGGGTCTCAGGAATGTCCACACCAATTATCCCATACTTAATCTGACTTTCAATTTTTGTTTTTGCAGCTTCAATTATCATTGCACGCTCAAGTTTGTTTAATGGTTCTGGGTAATTGTTGCCTCTGCGATGTGGGCTCTCTCTTTCTCTTTGTCTATCTTTGGGATTTTCTATATTATGGTCGTCTCTCGAACGTTCATGCTCCCTGTGTCCTCGGTAGCGAGAGGAGCCATGAGTAGGTGACCTCCTCGTCAAATCCCTAAGATATCTGACCTCGCACTTATTATATCTACGGCCCCTGTTATAGACATAGTAGCGGCCATGTGTATAGCCTTCCTGGCCATATTCATGGCCAAATCCATGGCCCTGGCCATAGCCACGACCCTGGCCATAGCCACGGCCATGCATAATTTCTCGTTCTCTACTTCTTGGGCTTCGGTATAAATGTAATCTCGACCTGGATCGAGAACGGCTCTCTCTACGACAACGCGATCTGGAACGGGAACGAGAGCGAATATCTTGCCTATGATGCAATGGGGAATGAGAATTTTTCCTATACTGTGATCTTGAGTGTGATCGAGAGCGGCTTTTAGAGCGTGATCTCGAGTGATTACTAGATTTTGACTTGGACTCTTGTATCTTGGGACTTTCAATATCCTTACCCTTTTTCACTGATGATTTGTCTTTACTGACATTGCTTTTGACTGCCTGATCAAGAATTTCATACTCTTCTTCACTTTCTCTAAATACTGGATGAACTTCTTGTACATTAGGTGTAGAATTTGCCCCGATTTTAGTCTTTGATAGACGAAACCCTTGCTCATAGCTCTTCATCACATTCATCATCAGAGTAATACTATCAGGTTTCTCTGATGCTCTGAAACAGATGTAGTAATGAATGCTGTCCTACCCCAGATTAAAAAGTTTGTATTATTATTGCTATTGTAAATATTTTTGACCATTAATGAAATTACAAATAAAATTCTATTACAATAGTTCATTCAAAAATGCATTTATATATACACAGGAACAAACTTTGATAAAGGTAAAAAGTGTCCAATGATGTACCATTCCTTCAGATTATGTTGAAAAATAAACATAATCCCAAAATGGACATTATCTCACTTACCCTTCTTTCTCTGATGAGTAATTTTCTTTAGTTTTCTTATCTCTGCAAAAACAAGCAATTTTTAAACTTACAATGCTGTAAGCCAAAAACAAAGATCATTATATCAAATATAAATTTCTTTAGTCAATTTAAGAATGTAAATTAAAACTTCATTTGATTACCTGTTTCCATTATTATTTTTTTCCAACAAACAGAACCTACTCAAGATTCATTAGTATATTACAGTAATCCCTGATTACTGAAAGCCTACTCTGTATAATTTTGTTAATCAGCGAAGAATAAGTTAAACAAAACTTTGCCTAGTAAGCAGCTATCCCCAGCTCAGCAATCTCATAGTGGCTTCTCCTGTAGCAAAAATTAAACCTTTCCTGGCCAGTGTTTTACATGAAAATATGAGCCAATCATACATACATATGCAAAATGACAATATGCAAAAAATCAATGCTTTCAATAAGTGAAAATCCAAAGTAAAAAAGAGTGAAACTGCATTTATCACTGACAAAAAGCACTCGCTTAAAACCTAATCATAGTGGTCAGATTATTTTCCTTTGTCACCTCTTTTTTTCTTTCTTTTTTATCCACAACCTTTTTTTTTTTCTGAACTACCCTAGTCCTTCCTCTCCCCATTCTTGTCATTCCTATTATGGCTTAACAAAAAGAATCAATCATGGTAAACTTGAAAAAAATCTGCCCACAATGCCCACAAAAATATGAGACCAATATACCTACACCTTTTTTTTTTTTTTAATATGCTTGCCATCTCCCACAGAGGCAGGGTGACCCAAAGTAAAGAAACACCTTCACCATCATTCACACTATCATTGTCTTGCCAGAGGTTAACAGATATGAAAGTTTAGATGTCCCTCCAAACAACAAACATCCCAAATCTCTCCTTTAGAGTGGAGGCACTGTACTTCCCACCTCCAGGACTCGTGTCTGCCTAACTGGTTTCCCTGAATCCCTTCACAAAACATTACCCTGCTCACACTTCAACAGCTCATCAAGCGTGGGGAGTTTTGAATCAAGTGTGAGAGTAATGGTGGTTGGGGATTTCAATGCTAAAGTGGGTAAAAATGTTATGGAGGGAGTAGTAGGTAAATTTGGGGTGCCAGGGGTAAATGTAAATGGGGAGCCTTTAATTGAGCTATGTGTAGAAAGAAATTTGGTAATAAGTAATACATATTTTATGAAAGAGAGGATAAATAAATATACAAGGTATGATGTAGCACGTAATGAAAGTAGTTTGTTAGATTATGTATTGGTGGATAAAAGGTTGATGGGTAGGCTCCAGGATGTACATGTTTATAGAGGGGCAACTGATATACTGGATCATTATTTAGTTGTAGCTACAGTTAGAGTAAGAGGTAGATAGGAAAAGAGGAAGGTGGCAACAACAAGTAAGAGGGAGGTGAAAGTGTATAAACTAAGGGAGGAGGAAGTTCGGGCGAGATATAAGCGACTATTGCCAGAAAGGTGGGCTAGTGCAAAGATGAGTAGTGGGGGGGTTGAAGAGGGTTGGAATAGTTTTAAAAATGCAGTATTAGAATGTGGGGCAGAAGTTTGTGGTTATAGGAGGGTGGGGGCAGGAGGAAAGAGGAGTGATTGGTGGAATGATGAAGTAAAGGGTGTGATAAAAGAGAAAAAGGTAGCTTACGAGAGGTTTTTACAAAGCAGAAGTGTTATAAGAAGAGCAGAGTACAGTGGACCCCCGGTTAACGATATTTTTTCACTCCAGAAGTATGTTCAGGTGCCAGTACTGACCGAATTTGTTCCCATAAGAAATATTGTGAAGTAGATTAGTCCATTTCAGACCCCCAAACATACACGTACAAACGCACTTACATAAATACACTTACATAATTGGTCGCATTCGGAGGTAATCGTTATGCGGGGGTCCACTGTATATGGAGAGTAAAAGAAAGGTGAAGAGAGTGGTGAGATAGTGCAAAAGGAGAGCAGATGATAGAGTGGGAGAGGCACTGTCAAGAAATTTTAATGAAAATAAGAAAAAAATTTTGGAGTGAGTTAAACAAGTTAAGAAAGCCTAGGGAAAGTATGGATTTGTCAGTTAAAAACAGAGTAGGGGAGTTAGTAGATGGGGAGAGGGAGGTATTAGGTAGATGGCGAGAATACTTTGAGGAACTTTTAAATGTTAAGGAAGAAAGGGAGGCGGTAATTTCATGCACTGGCCAGGGAGGTATACCATCTTTTAGGAGTGAAGAAGAGCAGAATGTAAGTGTGGTGGAGGTACGTGAGGCATTACGTAGAATGAAAGGGGGTAAAGCACCTGGAACTGATGGGATCATGACAGAAATGTTAAAAGCAGGGGGGGATATAGTGTTGGAGTGGTTGGTACTTTTGTTTAATAAATGTATGAAAGAAGGGAAGGTACCTAGGGATTGGCAGAGAGCATGTATAGTCCCTTTATATAAAGGGAAAGGGGACAAAAGAGATTGTAAAAATTATAGAGGAATAAGTTTACTGAGTATACCAGGAAAAGTATACGGTAGGGTTATAATTGAAAGAATTAGAGGTAAGACAGAATGTAGAATTGTGGACGAGCAAGGAGGCTTCAGAGTGGGTAGGGGATGTGTAGATCAAGTGCTTACATTGAAGCATATATGTGAACAGTATTTAGATAAAGGTAGGGAAGTTTTTATTGCATTTATGGATTTAGAAAAGGCATATGATAGAGTGGATAGAGGAGCAATGTGGCAGATGTTGCAAGTATATGGAATAGGTGGTAAGTTACTAAATGCTGTAAAGAGCTTTTATGAGGATAGTGAGGCTCAGGTTAGGGTGTGTAGAAGAGAGGGAGAATACTTCCCGGTAAAAGTAGGTCTTAGACAGGGATGTGTAATGTCACCATGGTTGTTTAATATATTTATAGATGGGGTTGTAAAAGAAGTAAATGCTAGGGTGTTCGGGAGAGGGGTGGGATTAAATTATGGGGAATCAAATTCAAAATGGGAATTGACACAGTTACTTTTTGCTGATGATACTGTGCTTATGGGAGATTCTAAAGAAAAATTGCAAAGGTTAGTGGATGAGTTTGAGAATGTGTGTAAAGGTAGAAAGTTGAAAGTGAACATAGAAAGAGTAAGGTGATGAGGGTATCAAATGATTTAGATAAAGAAAAATTGGATATCAAATTGGGGAGGAGGAGTATGGAAGAAGTGAATGTTTTCAGATACTTGGGAGTTGACGTGTCGGCGGATGGATTTATGAAGGATGAGGTTAATCATAGAATTGATGAGGGAAAAAAGGTGAGTGGTGCGTTGAGGTATATGTGGAGTCAAAAAACGTTATCTATGGAGGCAAAGAAGGGAATGTATGAAAGTATAGTAGTACCAACACTCTTATATGGATGTGAAGCTTGGGTGGTAAATGCAGCAGCGAGGAGACGGTTGGAGGCAGTGGAGATGTCCTGTCTAAGGGCAATGTGTGGTGTAAATATTATGCAGAAAATTCGGAGTGTGGAAATTAGGAGAAGGTGTGGAGTTAATAAAAGCATTAGTCAGAGGGCAGAAGAGGGGTTGTTGAGGTGGTTTGGTCATTTAGAGAGAATGGATCAAAGTAGAATGACATGGAAAGCATATAAATCTATAGGGGAAGGAAAGAGGGGTAGGGGTCGTCCTCGAAAGGGTTGGAAAGAGGGGGTAAAAGAGGTTTTGTGGGTGAGGGGCTTGGACTTCCAGCAAGTGTGCATGAGCGTGTTAGATAGGAGTGAATGGAGACGAATGATACTTGGGACCTGACGATCTGTTGGAGTGTGAGCAGGGTAATATTTAGTGAAGGGATTCAGGGAAACCGGTTATTTTCATATAGTCGGACTTGAGTCCTGGAAATGGGAAGTACAATGCCTGCACTTTAAAGGAGGGGTTTGGGATATTGGCAGTTTGGAGGGATATGTTGTGTATCTCTATACGTATATGCTTCTAAACTGTTGTATTCTGAGCACCTCTGCAAAAGCAGTGATAATGTGTGAGTGTGGTGAAAGTGTTGAATGATGATGAAAGTATTTTCTTTTTGGGGATTTTCTTTCTTTTTTTGGGTCACCCTGCCTCGGTGGGAGACAACCGACTTGTTGAAAAAAAAAAAAATTAAAAACAAGAGCTAAACCTGTATGGATCAAATGGCTACATATATAAAGAATTAATGAATTTGATTACAACATGGATAAAACCAAACTCCCTATCAGATTATTTCTTCTCTTTCTCATTTCTGTTTAGCCAAACATACTCCCTCCATGGCTATGCTCTACTACATCCACACCCAGATTCATCACACCTCTGTCCATTGCAATGTTCTACATACACACCCAGCTTCATCACACTACTTCTTCCATCAGTATGCTCTATGGTGATACCCAGCTCCATCACACCTCCCTCCATTATACTTACACCCAACTCCATCATTTTTTTTTTTCAACAATTTGGCTTTCTCCCACCAAGGCAGGGTGACCCAAAAAGAAAGAAAATCCCCAAAAAGAAATACTCTCATCATTCAACACTTTCACCTCACTCATACATAATCACTGTTTTTGCAGAGGCTCTCAGATATGACCGTTTAGAAGTCCCTCCAAACTGTCAATATCCCATATCCCCTCCTTTAACCCTTAAATGGTCCAAACATATATATACGTTTTTTCAACATCTGAATGTAAAAAAATGTAGATCTTCTTTTTTGTTTTACATTTGAAAACGTGCAAAAAAAAATTTGATCTACATTTTTTTTGTTATATTTGAAAATATGTAAAAAAAAGTAGATCTACTTTTGTAGCACTACGAATTTGAACGTCAATCTCTTTGGACCGTTTAAGGGTTAAAGTGCAGGCATTGTACTTTCCATTTCCAGGACTCAGGTCTGGCTAAATCTATAATAACCGCTCACAAAATCTCCTTTACCCCCTCCCTCCAACCTTTTTGAAAACGACCCTTACCCCTCCTTCCTTCCCCTACAAATTTATATGCTCTCCAAGTCATTCTACTTTGATCCATTCTCTCTAAATGACCAAACCACCTCAACAACCCCTCTTCAGCCCTCTACTACTTTTAGTAACTTCACACCTCCACCTAATTTCCACACCCTGAATTCTCTGCATTATGCAGAGAATTCACACATTGCCCTTAGACAGGACATCTCCACTGCCTCCAACCACCTCCTTGCTGCAGCATTTACAACCCAAGCTTCACACCCATATAAGAGTGTTGGTACCACTATACTTTCATACATTCCCTTCTTTGCCTCCATAGATAACATTTTTTGTCTCCACAGATACCTCAATGCACCACTTGCCTTTTTTTCCTTCATCACTTCTGTGGTTAACCTCATCCTTCATAAACCCGTTCGCCAACAAGTCAACTCCCAAATACGTATCTGAAAACATTCACTTCTTCCATACTCCCTCTCTCCAATGTGATATCCAATTTTTCTTTATTTAGATCATTTGATACCCTCATCACCTTACTATTATCTATGTTCACTCTCAACTTTCTACCTTTACACACCCTCCATTTCCAACTCTATCATACTTAATTTAAAAGCAAAGTATTCAACTATCACCAAAGACAGACATATGTAGCAGAACTTTCACTGGCATAATGTTTCATGTTAAGGTGTGAATTTCTTATTTTTTGATGAATTAAAAATTTATAAAAAATATTCTGATTGATTTTTTAGGTGACTGAAATGTAACCCTATTTTTTCTTGTATGTTCTTCAGTTCAGTTAACACTATTTCATTTAAAGTGCAGGGTTTCAGGAATATAATCTGTACACTATACTATCCATCATAAAAACAAATTTAAATAACACCTATGAGCATGACAGTGTATTGGGGAAGTGTGAACTGAAGACACAAACGACAATTAGATATCACCTAAACATTAACAGCTATGCTGGAACTTAGATATTATCCAAATATCAAAAGTTTCGTAATTTTGTATATACTTACTTTTGGAGCGACTCTCGACTAGCTTCTACTTTCTTATAATAAGCAGATAGCTTTTCATTCAAGCTTTCTAATTCTGGTATAGGATCCTCTTCCCTGTAACAATTAAAACCAGTTATTTCATTATAAAAACATAGTTGTACAACTACCAAGAATCTGTAGCAAATTCATTACATAAAACAATGCACAAAACTTACCTCAACAACACAGAACCCATTATAGTTTCTTGATTATTTGGAGAAATGAAGTTTCAGTAGAATGATATCAGATGCAAAATTATACTAATTTTTCTTAAAACAATATCTTTAATAGTTTCACAAACATAGTTACATAATTTAAGTATAAATCATGTTTTATTTACATCTTCAGTGTAAAGGGCATTTTACAAGACAGACAATTTTTCCATTTATAATGTGTCTTGTCACCTTAATAAAAAAAAAATTACGATTTACATAGTTATATAAACACATCCAATGTATTGTATATAAATAAACAAAAATGTATTCTCAGCAGACGAAGTTAGCTAACACCAGAGGTACATAGGTGAAATTGTACCAAGAGATAGCATTTTATATGTTTTACAGTACTTGCATCATAAATTTGCCTCAGGCTAAGATGCTGCTCGCCCATACAATGGTAAGATGAACAATTCCATACTCAAATGCTGAAACGATAAAAATGTTGAACTTTTTAACGTGTAAAAAATAATTGACCTAAGTTTAGAAAAAAACACTCAACTTGCTTTAAGAATAAAGGAAACTCAATAAATTCAAGAGTTTGTTAAGAAAATAATAAACTTACACTTTTGAGTAGTTTGATGGATATTTAGACTTTTCTTCTAGTTTCTCTTTGTGTAATTTTCCTGTTTTGCTTTGTTTTTCCTTCTTCTCCCTTTTCTTGTATTTTTTCTTTTTATACTTTTTTCTGCTGCTACTATCCGAGGTTCCACTCGTACTGCTGCTGCTGAGACTAGTGCTGCTGCTGCTGCTGCTGCTGGTGCTACTGCTACTGCTGCTAGTGCTACTACTGCTGCTGTAGCTTATGCTCCTACTTCCATTTCTGGACCTTCTGCTTCTGCTTCTAGATCGGTTTCTTCTGCTTTTTTTCTTGTGGGAATCTAAGAGATTATTTAGAAAATTGACAAGAAAGGTTAAGCGATAATTTTTGGATAGTATAGAAGTTAAAAAAGTAATTTAAAGAATAAATGTAAACACTTGAGAAATTCAATAATATAATCCAAAACAAAAAACTTACAGTACCTGTATTGGTTATTCCTACAAGTCCTCTCCCACAAGACATAATGGTGGCTCAAGCAAAACTCTTCCATAAAATCCTGTCAATTTATCCTTCAACAAAGCTCACTATATATACCCATAACTACAAGAAGAACAACTGTATAACAAAAACTATTATAAATCCAAATATTTTTAAATAATAATTGAAGATTAAAGCATAAAATGACAAAATTCCTGCAATATAACCTCGTAATGACCATCACGGTATATTGTGATTACATACAGTTAGTACTATTTGATGTAACAGTCATTTCTTCACTCTTTCCTTCCACTTTATGTTTAGCATCTCTAATTATTAATGCTCACCTTAGTGCTCTCTTCCCAACTATCTTCTTTGTATGTCCATAGTATCTCATTCTTTAGCTGATATTTTATGGACATATTTAACTTTGATAACACTTAACCCTTAACTATGACCATTATCATATGTTCTCTCCACTCAATAAATTCCACAATTATTTTTTGATCAGTCTGCAATACATTAGGCAGTAACGAGTTAAAGAGTAATAAGAGTTCCTTCCAATAAACCTCAAACATCTGATGAACTTGATATGATACGTGATTCTTCACGATCAAACTTATAACTAAGGGGTCTCCACATCTATGAACAGTTATTAACCTGCATATTAATGTATTTTCCTTTATAGATGGATATAGTAAATAGTTTCATACTAGAATATTCATAAATACACAAGCTGTGCTGTAAATCTTACCCAGGTACAGTACAATGAAAATTCTTGAGTCCCACCATAATCTCTCTACCTTCAGCATCTTCATTACAGTAGAACCTCTCATTAATAGATTTCAGCAATTTTGGACAAAAAATTAGCTGGACAACTGTGCTAATTATTGGACAAAATAGAGAAACGTCTGTAATTTCACATTTTGTCCAGTTGTCTTCCGAAGTACTGGGCTAAATCCGCTAACTCTGACATTTGTCTGGTAAGAGCCAGAGCAGCCATGTCCAAACCTGTCTTTTTACTAAGCTCCCTGAGCAGTAGGCCACCTGTGCCTATTTCCTGTTTGTGTACGCTCAATCATACACTCATCATTTAGTTTCCAATTTTCCCTGGATTTAGAGCATCTTGTGTGACCTTATTAATATAATAAGTACAGAGCAATTAACAATGGCATCTAAGGCAAGAGATGGTGCCAAGAGAAAATGTGTGGTTCTCAGAAATCTACACTTTCTCGGCCATATGCACCTTCTCGGTCATCTACACCTTCTCAGCCATCTACAACTCTTCTGACTCATAATGAAAGTTATTCTGAGTCATCACTATCAATCACAGAAGTTTACATCTCATCTTTCCACCACAAAAAGGCAAGTAAAATTACTGTAAATTCGATAAAGTATTACAAAATTACTATACAGTAGAGCTACAATACCCATATTCTTAGTGTCCGGTTGTCTTCTGCAATAGCAGACCAAGTCCACTACTTCAGAAGACAACTGGACAATTATGAAATATTAATTTCATAATGAGACTTGTACCAAATTATTATTATATTCATGGGGAAGTGCTAAACCCATTAAGGTCATACAGCATATGGAGAATGGGGGAGGGGGTAGTTAGATATGATCAGAGGCAGGGAAGGTTAACTCCAATTCCTTGAATTAAGAGTCCTTCACCACCATTAAGGCACCCCCCTTGAAGGGCAGTCTAACAGAAGATAACCTTACTTCAAGTATTAACACAAGAGTTCAATAATACAACTGATAAATTTAACTCTTAAGTTAATTCCCATTAAAGGGAGAAAATTTAAGCAAGGCTATTTAGAGACCCACCAGCCATCACCTACTGTTCAACTTATGTCTGGACTTCTACACCATTATTAACAGAGTTTCAAGGCATTCCCAGATAACTTTTTGCTATCTATACTATTTACATTTAGATACTATTTCACAATTAAAATATATCTTATCTTAGTATAGTATTCATATTTAATGCAGTTCATACATCCCTCCCATTTTCTGTATCATGTACCCCAAGGCAGCACTCGAGGCTGTCTCATTCCTCACTTATAACAATGACCTAGAAATGCTACCCAACAAACCAAAGCAATACTTCCTTCTTCCAGCACCCTACTGCTCAAGCTGTATGCTTAACCCTTTCATCAGCCATCACACAGCACTACTTCACTGAGGCCATGGTCCCACATGTAGTTCTGTGATGACCTCAGCTCACTCATATGAGTTGTGAGCACTACACAGTGAGTGTGCACAGTATAAAAAAAAAATTCTGCCCCACACGTTGCATGATGAGAAAAGCAAAACTCTCAACATGAGTTTAGTTTAAAATAGTAACTTTGAGGTGTTTTCTAGGACGTTTTTTTTAAGGTTTTATTAGCTGCTTCTGGGTATCCTTCGATACAATGGAAGAAATACTACTGAAATACAGATGATTTTACTTGGTTTCAAGACGAGACTTAGCTTGAAATCAGGCTCAAAAGAAGTGAAAATATTAGATTTTAGCCAATTTTCTTGAAGACAGGAATGTCACTCCCCCTTTAAACCTCCAGCCTGTTTTATGGATTTTTAACAGATCTAATTTAATTTCTGGAATGCCATAAACCATTATCAATCATTCTTGGTTATATTTTATCATCCAGGAAATAGAGTAAATCTTCTATTTTTCTGTAATTATGAATTAAAAATGGAAAACAAGTATAATATAGGAGAGGCCTGGGAACATGATAAATGAACAGAGTTCATTTGTTTTAGTGCCAAGAATCTCTACAGTGTTTATTTTGCACTATTTTTAAATTGGTATTTTTTTAAAATTTGTGTGAAACTGGCCAATTTACTACCTTCTGTGAATTTTACAGGGTAATTGTAATAGCAGAATTAGCAGTTTTGTATGCTCAACAGATAGAACAGAAGGCATACCAGCAAAACAGCTAAGAATTTGACTGAAAGGAGCAACTGACTTTATTTAAATTCTGGGCCCAATTTATGCATCGCCGATGCATAAATTGAGCCCAGAATGCTAAATTTGTGCCTGCATAATTCCACAAGTTTTCCATAAAATTTTGTACTTTTGGTGTCATTACCTTCAGAAAAAGTTTCTAGTAAATAAGTTTATTCAGTCTATTCTCTGTTTCAAAAGAAATTTTTTTTTTTTTTTTAAGGTGGACACTGGGAGCAATATTAACTTAAGGGGTCTGGACAGTGAAAGCGCTAACATTGAACTTTGAAGTTTATTTCTTGTCAAGCTCAAAAAAAAAATTATAAGAATCAGCAATCAGAATACAGTAAGGCCCCACTTATACGGCAGGTTAGGTTCTAGGCTACCACTGCAAAGCAGGCATCGCCGGAAAGCAGAACACCATTTTTCCACTTATAAATGCATATAAATGCCAGATAACAAGTTTACACTAACGTATATTAGGTTAGGAATAGAACTAGGCATTAAAAACAATAAAACGTAAAATAACGTAACAGTAAAAGTAAACGTAAAAGTAGGTTGGTAAACAGCAACCACCCAGGGAGGTACTACCGTCCTGCCAAGTGAATGTAAAACAAAAGCCTGTAATTGTTTTACATGATGGTAGGATTGCTGGTGTCTTTTGTCTGTCTCATAAATATGCAAGATTACAGGCATGTCTTGCTACTTCTACTTACACTTAGGTCACACTACACATACATGTACACGTTTATTTATACACACTCATCTGAGTTTTCTTTGATTTTATCTTAATAGTTCTTGGTCTTATTAATTTTCCTTTTATATCCATGGGGAAGTGGAATAAGAATCTTTCCTCCGAAAGCCATGTGTGTTGTAAAAGTCAACTAAAATGCCGGGAACAATGGGCTAGTAACCCCTTTTCCTGTAATAATTACTAAAAAGAATAATAATAAGAAAATTGTCAAAGTGGGAAGTCTGAATGTGTGTGTGGATGTTGTGCAAATGATAAGAGAGAGATGATTGTGGATGTTATGAATGAGAAGAAGCTGGATGTCCTGGTTTTAAGTGAAACAAAGCTGAAAGGGGTGGGAGAGTTTCAATGGAGAGGAATAAATGGGATTAGGTCAGGGGTTTCAAATAGAGTTAGAGCTAAAGGAGTAGTAGCAATAATGTTGAAGGATAAGCTATGGCAGGAAAAAAGGGACTATAAATGTATTAATCAAGGATTATGTGGAGTAAATAAAGATTGGATGTGAAAAGTGGGTTATAGTAAGCGTGTATGCACCTGGAGAAGAAAGAAGTGTAGAGGAGAGAGAGAGATTTTGGGAAATGTTGAGTGAATGTGTGGGAAGCTTTGAATCAAGTGTGAGAGTAATGGTGGTTGGGGATTTCAATGCTAAAGTGGGTAAAAATGTTATGGAGGGAGTAGTAGGTAAATTTGGGGCACCAGAGGTAAATGTAAATGGGGAGCCTTTAATTGAGCTATGTGTAGAAAGAGATTTGGTAATAATACATATTTTATGAAAAAAAGGATAAATAAATATACAGTGGACCCCCGCATAACGATTACCTCCGAATGCGACCAATTATGTAAGTGTATTTATGTAAGTGCATTTGTACATGTATGTTTGGGGGTCTGAAATGGACTAATCTATTTCACAATATTTCTTATGGGAACAAATTCGGTCAGTACTGGCACCTGAACATACTTCTGGAGTGAAAAAATATCGTTAACCGGGGGTCCACTGTACAAGGTATGATGTAGCACGTATTGAAAGTAGTTTGTTAGATTATGTATTGGTGGATAAAATGTTGATGGGTAGGCTCCAGGATGTACATGTTTATAGAGGGACAACTGATATATCGGATCATTATTTAGTTGTAGCTACACTTAGAGTAAGAGGTAGATGGGAAAAGAGGAAGGTGGCAACAACAAGTAAGAGGGAGGTGAAAGTGTATAAACTAAGGGAGGAGGAAGTTCGGGCGAGATATAAACGACTGTTGGCAGAAAGGTGGGCTAGTGCAAAGATGAGTAGTGGGGGGGTTGAAGAGGGTTCGAATAGTTTTAAAAATGCAATATTAGAATGTGGGGCAGAAGTCTGTGGTTATAGGAGGGTGGGGGCAGGTGGAAAGAGGAGTGATTGGTGGAATGATGAAGTAAAGGGTGTGATAAAAGAGAAAAAGTTAGCTTATGAGAGGTTTTTACAAAGCAGAAGTGTTATAAGAAAAGCAGAGTATATGGAGAGTAAAAGAAAGGTGAAGAGAGTGGTGAAAGAGTGCAAAAGGAGAGCAGATGATAGAGTGGGAGAGGCACTGTGAAGAAATTTTAATGAAAATAAGAAAAAATTTTGGAGTGAGTTAAACAAGTTAAGAAACCCTAGGGAAAGTATGGATTTGTCAGTTAAAAACAGAGTAGGGGAGTTAGTAGATGGGGAGAGGGAGGTATTAGGTAGATGGCGAGAATATTTTGAGGAACTTTTAAATGTTGAGGAAGAAAGGGAGGCGGTAATTTCATGCACTGGTCAGGGAGGTATACCATCTTTTAGGAGTGAAGAAGAGCAGAATGTAAGTGTGGGGGAGGTACGTGAGGCATTACGTAGAATGAAAGGGGGTAAAGCACCTGGAACTGATGGGATCATGACAGAAATGTTAAAAGCAGGGGGGGATATAGTGTTGGAGTGGTTGGTACTTTTGTTTAGTAAATGTATGAAAGAGGGGAAGGTAACTAGGGATTGGCATGAAGAGCATGTATAGTCCTTTATATAAAGGGAAAGGGGACAAAAGAGATTGTAAAAATTATAGAGGAATAAGTTTATTGAGTATACCAGGAAAAGTGTATGGTAAGGTTATAATTGAAAGAATTAGAGGTAAGACAGAATGTAGGATTGCGGATGAGCAAGGAGGTTTCAGAGTGGGTAGGGGATGTGTAGATCAAGTGTTTACATTGAAGTATATATGTGAACAGTATTTAGATAAAGGTAGGGAAGGTTTTATTGCATTTATGGATTTAGAAAAGGCATATGATAGAGTGGATAGGGGAGCAATGTGGCAGATGTTGCAAGTATATAGAATAGGTGGTAAGTTACTAAATGCTGTAAAGAGTTTTTATG